AACTGTGAGGTTGATAGAATGTTTTACTGGTCCATCAAACAGTGGATGATGAGTTCTTGTCAGCTCCCACTGATGGCATCCATTCAACCGTGGATGATGGGTTCACCAAAGCTACCCAGGACGAGCTCAGAACTACAAGCAAAAGTAGTCCATTGACAGAATCATCTTCTTGTGTCTTCCTTTGCCTTCATGGTTTGCTGCAGCAGCTGTTGGATCCAACTTTGTCTGCTAGCTTAGATGCATTGAATCATTGCAGTCAGCCATGTCCTTGAGGTGTTCCATGGAGAGGATCAGGTTCTGTTTTCTGAAACTTGAAAACCAAAGATGAACACAGAGAGATTGCAATCATGGTGGAGAGACAAGGGCAGCAGGAGCAGTTTCTTCTGGCCTCTTTGACATGATAGCATTTCCTCCATATGAAAGTGCAGGTCTGATGTCCGCAGTGGAATTCCATATCAGCAGGGGAAGTGGATGCTGATCCACTTGAATGTTTGCCTCCCCCGCAGCAACTACTACTAGAAATCCTTGGCAGCCTGTACATGATGCCAGAGACCAGAGGAGGGAAGAAGACATGGTAGCATCTAAGTACAGAGGTCATTGCTTTTCATAGGATTGCTGACGACCTTCTGTGACACACCAAGCTAAATTTCACATCCAAAGTAAAAGAAGAATTGAGCACATTAATTTGGATAAATACTCTGGATCATGACATGAAAAAAACCACTGAATTAGGTCTCTTCAGCATCACATTGGTGTTTATTTCCAGGTTATGATTATAGTAGTTATATGACGGGATCAAATGACATGACTCAGATCAATTTCTTAACCAATAAAAAATCTACATATGCACTTATCAAAGGTTGAGGATTTAAAACTCCATCTCATAAAAACCTTATATCTTAAACATTGAAAACTTGAAACTTCATCTGAAAAAAATAAAAAACACAAGAAAATTTATTTTATATCTTTCCTTTTTATCCAGGATCATCCAGGAGAGAGATATCTGCATCTCTAGTGTTCAGATATCACTGTCAACCTACTGGCAGTGGAACTCCCTATCACCCTCAGACCAAATTAACTGAAGTCATTTGCATGTTACTTCATGTTTATGCAACATGATATGAGAGTCATTTAAGGCACTCCTAATGTCCAAAGTGAGCCTTTTGAGAGGTCTAGAAGATAATTAGGATACCAGGTTGTTGATTAAGATAGGACTGAAGCATAATCCCGGAATGTTTAGATAAGTTAACATGAGAAAATGACAGAGCTGAAGCATGATTATGGAATGTTTAGGTGAAGTTCACAGGAGAAAATGACTCACACATGAATTGGCACATCAGCTGCTTGACAAGAACAAGTCTTTTGTTCGTGGCCAGAGCAAAATCAAGATGTGACAACCACATCACAGCAACTGTTCCATGACAAAGTCACAGATGAGATAGCCATAGAAGTGGAGCTTACTACACAGGACACAGGATATAGACAGTTCACAGCAGTCTCCAAATATTTAGGCTGCATTCTACTTCTATTTTGCTTCTAAACTTATCATAGATTTAATTGAGCTAATCAAATGGAATTAGCTCAGATTAATGGAGATAATATTGATTAGTAGATCTTTTCTTAGGTTTTACTCACTTTGGAGACACTACTTTGGCATTCCGTTCTAACTTAAAGATGGCATAAAGACAGTGACCCATATTCAACTTGTTGACCACTAGAGATGAAACACAACAAGGCACTAGGAAGTGTAGAAAAGAAAGCTGTTATATGTTTACAGTTTACACGTGTTTATATTGGATAGGAAGAAAGATTACGTGATTTTCAAACATTAAAAGAGCCAAATCTAAGGTGAAAAACCAGCCCTTAGATATCGAGTTCCGCTCCTGGCACTGGACAGGTGATCTTACAACGTCAAGTGTTGCAGGAAAATATAGTTCAGCTCCTGATAGATCCTTCAATAATAGAAATGGTCGTCAGGACATAAAGCTCACTTGTGATCCAAATATGAAGTATTCACAGAATTTTTCTCCTCCTTGTGGGCTCTGATTTGCTCCATAGCGGCATAAAAGATGACATCTTGCAGTCATTAGGGTATATTTAGATACTATAACCCGGTAAAGTATCCATCTCAGCAAAGAATACAAGAAAAGATCCAGATACTGCTGATTCAGTATAACCAAAGCAGTTTATTGTTATCAATGAAAGTTCAGTTCCACCCATGTAAGATAGCCGGAATGTGCCAGCTATGATCATCAACATATTAAAGCCTAAAATTGATCACTAAGTATATCAGCATATGCAGGAAAGTTTTCAACAAGGTACTACAACATGCAAGAAGCTGCTCAAAATTATCGAATTAGACAAGTGACCGGGATTCTCATAGTTATGCCCCCATAGGAACAAAAGTTTCTAAATACTGAAGAATGGTTCAGGCAACAATCTAAACCAAGAATTATTGTGACAGCTGATGGAAACTGACAAGATGGATTGTGGTTCTTTGGCAGTTAGTCTCCAGAATCAGTAACAGCTGAGTGGTGGATAAGATAACAGTGCTATCTATTCAGCCGAAGCATGATTAAATTTATAACTGAAGCATGGCATGTGACAGGCTGATCAAGTTCAGGCTCCTTGTCATCCAGCAAAGTACTTCTTATCAATTAACATATTAGATAGTCTGAAACAACAAAGACTAAACTATTGGTTCTACTTTCTTAAGTAGAAGGTACGACATACTTGCTTCTGTTCTCTTTATGTGCTGTTAAGATGACTTTGACAATCTGCTTAGTTCAGGAAAATGTAAAAGCTAGTCTCGTCATGCAGCATTTGGTAAAGCTTCTCAGCATTACTTGCTGCAAGTTAGATTTCCTGTCTCCATGGAGGAGTCAGCATCCAACTTCTCAAAAATGATGATCGAATAAGAAATGTTTTAATACAAGAACAGGTCGATATCTTATAATGATAACAGTAGACTATGTTGAGTAGTGTTCAAACCCATCTCATATATCCCATCTAATATTTTTTTGAAGTCATCAACATTAGATTACTCAAAAGCAAGACAAAAGATCATTTTAAGATCCAATTTTCATGCATCATTACTGATGGTCCTAGACATATGCAGAACAGCTAGACCCATTTAGTGATGGTACTGACACATCCATCTGCTAGTGGGACATCCAAAACTGGGTCTGGAATCAAGGGAGAAAAAAAAGGAAAACAGAATGTTAGTCATGAGCCATTTACTAAACTGCATACTCTCCCATGCAGCATGTAAGAATACACACATGATATAGCAAATTAGGATATCAAAACATGTTCTGATCATTCAATTGAAAACACTGATTCAAGAAACCAATTTAGTAAGTTGTTTTCATTCATGATGGAGATACTACACAAATATCAAGACAATGTTTGAATGAGATATGTATGGTGCTAAATGAAACGAAAAAGTTAGTACCCGAATATTCAACTCACAGTCAGTAACCTCATCATAAATTTCAGGCAAAAATTAGCATGAACAAACTAACTCCAATTGCATGGATATCCAATCAAGAAGTGACTGCAGACCTATAATACGATAGGCAAAATACGTAGGAAACAATGTTGAAGAGTTGCTTTGATGGCAAAATACCCTTTAGCTGCACCTAAAACAGTTGACAGAAACAAGGTTATACAGGGTCTAATTGTCTCCCAGCTTTTATGTATTTCCAGGCAAATTTTGTTGGTTGACTAAGTTCAAAGTAATTCAAGATGTAAATACAAAAAACATAACACTAATTGGAAGCAGAAGAAATCACTGTTAGGACATGACATTACTGAATAGCAAGATATCAACAATTTTATTGAATACAAGAAAGCGAAGTAAAACAAATCCACCCACCTCCAGAGGAAAACCATTGTCTTGTAAACGTGTCGTGTTAATTATGCCCCGAACTATAACAGTAACCCCATCTGCAGTCGTAAGAGTATGAGCATCATCTCGTTTCACAGTTGGTGCACATCTGAAGACTCTTGTTGCGTATATGGTAAGGAAACCATGAAATTTTCATAAGAATACAACAAAGCAGTATGTCTTTCACGGACACCAAGAACAGGAAAGGGTTAATTTCCAATTTCATATCACAGGAACGACCAATTCATTAATGAACTCTCCCAAGGGACGAGAACACGCAATACAATATGGATAAGAACATTCTTTTGAGTGCAAATCAAACATCTCCGAAGGAATTACCTCGTCGTAAACCCGTCGACGGCTATTCTCCTCCCCTCGAATCCTCTTTCCGCTTCAGTCAACCACCAATCCGAAAGTGCAACCTGAGACGGATCAAGAATCAAATCCCTAAACCTAATTCATACCAAATGCTCTTCCAGGGTCGGGAGGAGGGAGCAGATGACGGCTTCGCCACGGCAGCCGGCGAGCGTACACGACCTCCGTGCCCGTGTTAGAAGAGAGGGGCTTCTTGGTGGGCTTACGGGGATTCCTTTGACAGTGGTAATAAATATAATAACGATAGTTTATTTTATATATATATATATAT